CATGAGTTATTTCTTTCTCCAATTTAAAATACAAATATTTTATTATATTACAATATTTTATTATAATACAAAATAGGATTCCGCAACTTACCGGATACAATCTTCATAACTTACGCTTCTTCATAAATATCAGATGACCACAGAGAAACTCCGTATTACTTCAGATATCGATACTCTTTTCTGTCGTCTTTGATCTTTGATAAAAAAAAAAATTATTCATAGTATGAGAGATCTAGTATAAATTTTAATATTACTCGATTGTTTTTAAAATTAGAAAAATTGGCAAAACTGCATAAAAGATAACACACCTCCGATTTAATCGCTACTTAAATATATTGTAAGGGAGGTTTTTCTGAGTAATTCCCTGCAAAAAATAAATAGTGGACAGAGACCTTCCTCCGCCCATGCATTCAATAAATAATATTTTTGAAGACATGACTCAGAAATTCATGTAGTCACATGTTGAAAGCTGTTAACGAACTGCGAAAAATAGGGTGAAACACATTATTGACAAAATATCCATGACCGTGTACCTATCTCGTAAATGTAAACAAACACTTTTTCGTCTGCTCTACAACAAATACAACGTACACAAACTTTATTTTTCCTAATGTTACTTTATAATACCTGAGAAAAAGCATTAAAACCATGAAACTTTAATTTGTTATATCTCCTAAACCAATGTCGTCTCCTACAAATTTTTTGCGAGGAATTACTTAGAAGAACCTCCCCTACAACATATTTAAGTGGCAATGAAATCGGAGGTATGTTACCTTTTATGCAGTTTATCGAGAATCTTCTAAATATTAAAAACCAAAATTAATTTATATATTGTAGTTGTAATAGTAATAATTGTAGTAAAAATTAAGGATTTGATTGTTTTATAAATATATATCTTATAGGAATTTATTTCGCGTTTTTGCAAAATTTATAATTTTTTGCTTAAAAACTGTAATATTTTAAGAAAATTAAAATATTTGTTGTTTAAAGTGTAATATATGTTTCATGAACAAGATGGTGTTTCTTCGGATACTATACATATAATATATATTTAATAATTTCACTTTCTTTGTACAGTGAAATAAGAACGATGGGATACGTATGTAATAAATCCGTAATAAGCGCAATCGAAACGGTATCGCGTGACCACATGTTACATTCCTCGCGCCAGAAGCAATTGTGTCCGCAACCACTTCTCATAGGCACAAATCTATGACATATTCCCGACTGCTCTCCAATTTGCCTGTCCCCCATGATTATAAATCACAGCAACAAGTTTCTAACTGGTTGTCTAATGCGAATGTCGATATCTCCAATTCGGAGCTTTCGTTGATCAATCTTAATTACTACTGATTGCTGATAAAAGAAACAGTTTTGATGCATTGTGTTTGTTAAAATAAAATAAAAATAAAGAAAGAGAGAGAAAAAAAGAGAAAGAGATAGAAAGCTTCTGATAAATTTTTTTTATATATTTGTATGTGTGGTTATTAATTTCAAATAAAACCAAAAATTATGCATGTTCATGATATTTCTTTTTATGAGATGCACGAAACTTTTCTCTGGGTATATATACAATAAATAGATATACAAGTCTCAAGAGTGAAATTAGCGATCAACTTGTCATTCGATTAGCCGTTTCCTCTGATTTCCAACTATGCTGTACTTTTTCTGGCTTTTCACCCCGCATTGTGGCAATTATCGGCATGCCGGTGAACGGTGGAGTCAGCTAAACAAAAGACCGTTAAAGCTATCCCCGATATCCGCATTCTCCGCTTTCATTCGATCTCGTTTATTTCGTATCAACCTTTTCCATCAGCATCATCAAATTTTTTTTTTTTGTACCGTCTTTTTCTTCTAATCGCCAGAATAAATCGCATATTTTTTCAACCGTCTTATCCCTATAATAATATTATTGCAATAATTTGAATTGATCTTAAATTTTGCTAGAAATTTTAAGATAGTCATTATTTTTCTAGTACATTTGTTGTATAATTATAATAACTTTTCAGAATCTTTCAAATCTCCATAAATTTCTTCCGCGTAGACATAAAGACAAACAAAGCGCAGAATTTAACGTGCGGATCGATTTAACTGATTCATAAAAACGAATGCGTGTAGGCACGAAACACGAGTGAAAGTTCAGAATCAAAATACCAAGTGGACTCGAGGCACTTCAGAGTTAAATGGATCGATCCGTATCGAAGCCGTTGCCAAAGTTACGCGAGCGCGCTTACGGTCAAAGCATAGCTCGCTTATCTCTTTGGTTATTCAATTATGACAATTTGTTCCAAAGGAGGGAGTATACGTCCCGCACACACCGGCACGCTTTGTACCAGCGGAGGCCGTTCCACGATAAATTGAGCTCTCAAGAAGGTCTGCGATTGCCGTATATATGTGAATCGGTGTGGAAAAGGTGAATGGGCTTGCAGCAATTCTGATGGCACTAGAGAAGAAAGGACGACGATGGGTTCTCCCTCCTCTTTCCTCTTCATTCTTTTTTCCCTGCCCTATAATGTACGCACATACACACGCCTACCCTCGATATGCAAAATCGCTGAATATGGCCGTAAAACGCAGGCGGTGTGTATGCCAATATAGTAAGTATGGGAAACCGGGTTTTCTTTCTCTTTTCTTCTTTATTGCCAAACGATAGAAAATAGAAATATTAACGTTTTTATGTGCCATAGTATTTTTTAATTTTATGATTAGCAATCATATGCATACACATACATACAATATAAATATCTATATATTGTAATTTTTTAAGTATTTATATTTCTTTTTTATATCTATATTATTTTACCTATTTGATTTTATTAAATTGTTTGCGATAAAATTATTGCTTCAATAACAATACAAATTAAAAAATGAACAAACAGTATCTTTGCGTATGTCGAATTGTCTTTACTGCTAGAAGCTACTCAAAATTTTGGCACGTTCTAAGAAAATGACGTTTTTCCGTTTGTAAACGTTCAACCATTTTCAAACAATCGGTTTTCCATGTCGGTTGAAATGTCTCATTTCCTAAAGTGAATCCAATTTCCGTGCAGTTCCGAGCAATTGGGAATAAGACGTGAATGAGTTCGTGATTTGCAAATAACTGAATCCAAATTATGGATTTCTTGATGAGGTGCCAGAATAGATTTGCCCTTTTCTTCTTTTGTTTTGGTCGTACAAAAGAATCTTTTTCTCTTTATTTTTACAAATAATAAAATGTGATTATGCATATATTTACATATATTCAGTTTCTCTTTAATCGACATTTTATAACAAGAATTAAAAAATCCAAAAATTGGCGCAGTTGATTTTCTTTATCACTATATTCAATCTAAAATAATATTTCCGTGTTACGATAACAATGTATGTCAATTTGTATCATATAAACTAAGAGTGATTAACATCGATGATAAAACTCTGCTATAATAATCTTCCCAAAATAAATTTTATGAAATTAGATATATATGTCAGATAGGAATCGTTCTATAAAATACGATTAATAAATCAAATAGAACGTAATAATAAAAATGTTGATATGTGATTATTGTCTAGTGTACAACAAATATACATTAGCTCTTGAGATAACGATATCATTTCGAAGTTGTGATTAGCTCTTTATTTCTTTATCTACAAATATTTTTGCGTAAATATTACTTTGTGTTAAAATAATTTTTTTAATAAAAAGTTATATTTTATGATTTTTTATAATTCTATTATAATATTGAAACCTTTAATTCACATTTAATTCTTTGTTTTGTCTATATTATATTTACGTCAGAGAGATAAACGCTTTTTTATTTTAAAATTTCTGTATAAATTAATTTTATTTTATTTAGTATTCTGTGAAAATACTAAAATTAAATAATTATGAATTAAATTGATTTTATTGATTTAGCTCCAAACATTCTGAAACGAAAAAAAAAATCTTTTGTGAAAAAATAATTTTTAATAAAAAAGTGTTCTTTAAAGCTGCAACATGTTCTGTAAAGAGAGTTTTATTTTAAAATTTATTATCTTATTTGTATTGGATATTTTAGAACGAAATAATTTATCGCTAATTATAACCCATTTTCTGATTAATAAAATAAAAAATATCTTTGTGTTATATCACATGTTATATCACAATCTATGTATAATTTGCATTTGTATTATAATAATAACAATAAGATTAAAATATCCATCAACTTTTACGTAACTTTGCGACGATATTCTAGAGACAGTACCCTCAAAGCGATGGCGGTCAAATACAATTTTCCTATCTTCGCAACTTCTCGCCTTATCTTTTTAACTCGTTTTGCGTCATTTCTACAGTGTCATTCAAAAAAAATCAATATTGTTCTTCACATGGGGTCTCTTATTGGTCTTGCCGAAAGCCACGAGCTTATGAGAAACGGCGGCGTTACCAAAAAAAGAAGATTCTATATTCGTCTTCGACAGAAACGAAAGTACAGCGATGAAGAGAGGCCGAAGCGAACGAGACAGAGGTGGTGGTAGAGCTAGCCGTTGTGTGAAAGCGTCAGCACACACGTTTGTATGGTAGGTTGCTCGACAATAGGCATTGTGCACCCGCCATAACCAGGAACCGAACGCGACAGCACCACGCCGGCATTGTCCGAGTGTCAGCCAGCATCCTTCTCCTCTCTCACTTCCTCTCACTCTCTCTAGCTTACCCGCACTCATCTTACATTTCGTTCATTTCGTTTCACTTTTCATAAATTTCTTTTTTTTTTGCATTTACTCGCTTTAGTACGATACGTGTCTTCTTAATATCTAAGCTAGGTATGATCTGGAAGTAGTCCACATCATATCGACAAAGTTGTCTCCGCAAGCCATCCATGATTATTACGTGAAACAATCTATGAATCAGATTTATCGTGATATCGCGTAACTGATAAAAATGCGAATATCAGGGCTTGAGCGACTGACATAGCGATTTCAGTAAACTGATAAAAAGGATCCATTGATCGAGTATATAAAGAGACCCTAGATAGACGAGCGCTCAATTTCGTGTGATTCGCATAAAGTAAAGAAAGAGAAATTTTTTTCAAAAAATTCTTTTTTGATAACACAATGAAAGGTAAGCTTAATGAAGTTTATTATGTAATTTGATTTTATTTAATGATTAGAATCAACATCGTTTGTTATTGTAAAATATGTCGCGCGTAATAACGAGTATATGTGATGAGAGGATAATTTTCTACAATTATTGAAACCAATTTAATATATCTTCTATTAAACTGAAATTTTGTTATATCAAATTGAGATTATTGCATGTAATATGCATATTTCTATTAAAAGATTTCGTTGAAAAAAATTTTAATGCAAATGTGATTGTAACTATGTGAAAAATTCTTACTATAATTAAATGAAAATATATTTGTACTGTTACAAAATAATTATCTTTCTCTCTCTCTTTCTTATAAAAATATGGCATAATGTAAGTATCTAGTTCTTCAATGTAAATATTTATAGTTTAATGCCTATAATTTATCTTTGATATCAAGCACTCGGCGCGAAATTCCATATAACTTATACTTTAAAATATTATGATAAATCTAATTATTTACTTAAGTCAAAATGATTATTATCTTGTTATTATCTTCCTAAAATTATTATTTTGCTTCTATTTAATATATTTTAGCCGTACTCTTCATTGCACTTGTGGTGTGCTTGGTGTCTGTGTTTTATGCCCAGGCCCAAGAGGTTAAATGCCCAAACAGAGGGCCAAGAGAAGGAGAGGAAGCCATTCTCATCCCTCACCCCACCAATTGCAGGCATTACTTTGTCTGTGATTATGGACGACCGATTGTAATGGAATGTCCTGATGATCTGCACTTCAACCCCATAAAAAAAGTTTGCGATTTTTCATGGGAAGCTGGATGCATAGCTAATGAATCTATATAAATGACGTGATTACATACAATTACATGATTATTTGACATAGTTTACATATATATTTTTGAAGATTAATAAATGAATGCTCTTTATTTAAAAACTTATCTTGTGTTTCCATTTTAATTTAATTAATCTTTATCAGTAAATACGCGATATCGATATTGTCTAATAAAAAAAATAT